GGGGGGGGGGGGGGTAACCCACCCCCCTATTTCCCTACTGTGATACAAATCTTGAGCCCTTGATCCAGCAAATTCAAACATGCAAAACATGCAAAAACAAATCATGCAAAAACAGATCCCCCCCCCTCAGTCGGAATAGGGTTAAGTGCCAAAATAGTAGCTCCTACCTCTTTTCTCAGTTTTTTCCTTTCCTCATTCAAAATATATTTCTGGTTTGCATCAAACTTTTAAACTCTAAAATTTACAATTTTTAAGTAAAGAAAAATCCTAAAAAATAAGTAAAAATACGTAAAATAAAAAAACTAAAAACTTTTGAAAATTTATTGGTATGAAATTTACGAAAATATACGTGTTTTTAGGTTTGCATCAAACTTTTAAACTCGAAAAAGAAATACGATTTTTTAAGTAAAGAAAAAACCTAAAAAAACCCCACAATAATACTTAAAATAAAAACCTAAAAACTTTGAAACATTTCATGATGGTATGAAATTTACGAAAATAAACGTATTTTTAGGTTTGCATCAAACTTTCAAACTCTAAAAAAAATACAACTTTATAAGTAAAGAAAACCTAAAAACCTAATCGTATAAATACGTTTCCGGAAAACCAAAGCATTTTAAAAAAATTGCTTGGTATAATAAATACTTAAAAATACGTAAATATACGTAAGTTCTTTACCCAAAAGTTGAGCATACATATTCAATACCTATTAATACGTTTCCATATATACAGACTTTGGAATTTTTAGGTTTTCGGATTAGTAGGGTGTATACAGGTACACCTGCTTTTCTGTGAGGTTGAATCCTGGCAATCGTCACTAGCTCCACCATATACTCCATGGTCACCATAGTCTTCAACATTTTCTCCACCTCCCCCTTCCTCCTTTCTCAGCATTTTTCCTTTCAAGTCAAAAGTTAAAATATTTTTCCATTTTTTACTCCCTTTGACAATTCCACCAATACCGACGTCTGCCCTTTCGAATCTTTCCAACTTCTGCTTCTTTTAACCCCTACCCCCAAGAACAGGCCAATCTCCGGTTTCAGAATTCAACATTTTATCGATTGTTGTGTTCTAAATATGTAATATATGATTAATGAGAAATGGGGACAAAGATATTGCAAATAAAAAAAAATATGAGAGGGAAACATTCTAAAAGAAAGAACTGTAGACTAAAGGGCGGAATAGAAGCTGTATGTATGGGCCAACCAATTCAAAACAACCAACTCTGGTTAGACGAATCCTAACTACATAGTAGATATTTGTATTATCTCGTGCTTTGTAGTTGAATAAAAATATAGAATATAAAGAATATTTTCTATGTCTGTCCTAGAAAACACTTTGGAGACCCCTGACACCTTATTTGGTAATTTCCAGGACTACAGCTATT